AAACTACACAGACTTTCCGAGTCCAAATCTACAAGCTTGTCCGACTACTGAAGAATATTCTACTCAATCCTCATGGATCATGTCGCTGTAACACACCTCCTCGTTGCAAAATCGAAGCTGTCAGACGTTTCTAAATGAGAAGACTTATCGAATCAACCGGTACTTGTTTGTCTGACTGATACAGGATATTCTACTTACTACGCAAGTTCTACTTCGATAAATCAATCAAAGATGTCTACGGGCACTGCCATCCGTAAGTATTACGACACGCGATCCCTCTAACGAAAACGTACAGTCTCACATGAATCACGGACTGCGCGCCATTTTTATTGCCTCGTATTCGCAACAATAATTTCGGACATTCAAGTTCACAATAATTAGAAAAAGCCGATTGCCTCGAGAATTCGATGAATCGATATAGCAAACTAAAATATCAATCCATCGAAATCTCAATAAATACATTTCTAAATAAATATTCATATCTGGAAGACTAACTCGCGAACAAATGATTTAATTCATTGAACAGTAGGAGATCAGAGCAATTTCCTTTTTTTCTATTAATTAAGCAACTGATATGTAATTTAGCTTTATATGTTGAAGGTTTCGCACGTTTTGTGTCAAGTTTTGTTAGAAAATGATGCAACAATGACGGAAAGATTGAGCAGGTTTTTTAATGGCATTCCTGTTAAGATAAGGAAATTACATGGGCCTACAGGTTAAAATTGCTTAAATCAAAAGAGGAGATTCCACTGTTGCAAAGACTATAATACGTATTAATGCGAACGTACATCAAGATAATACAACGCACTCCTCGAGGAAGGATCGCGACTGATTTTAACTGCCTCCGCGCGGATATCGTTTATGCAAAGTTAATCCGCGAGTTATTAACGGTCGTTCTAGTTTTAAATCCTCCTAATATATCAGTGCACCCGGCTTCGGGGAAACTCTGTCGCTATACGCGAAACGCTCGATGAATTTCAATTATCAATACTGTATTAACGCGACGCGAGTGCTTCATGGAAACATTTATTCTATTCTACAAACTTTTCATCTGATATAATTCTACTCGGGAAAGTAGTAAAGATTGCTAGTGGAACAAATCAGTTGTGTGCGAATGGATGTATCTGAGTGTGTGAATAGATATATCGATGAGTGATGTCTGTAATAGATGAATGACTGTGAGCGCGTTTTGAATGAATGTTCAGAGCATTGGAATATTCTACATTATATTGATTTTCTCTATATATTAATATATTGTTTCCTAATTCTCTTTTCACTGAAGATCCACATTTTCAATATCTATAATAATAGTAGCCCCACTATAAACTTGGGGGCTCGTCCGAGATTAATATTGATTTTCTCTATATGTTAATAATGTTCGTTTTTTATGAATCTAGTATATTCCAAATATATGAGTTACGTGGTAATGAAAGAATGTGAAATGTGAGTGAGAAGAGCATCTGAGTATATAGTGCGTTGTTCGAGTTAGTGTTTTATTGTGAGCTGTCAAGAAATAATTATACTGTTTCTAATAAAATTCTCTTTCTCCTACAGTAGTAAAAGCGATAGAAAAACTAGCAGTAAACCTGTTACTATAGCAATAAAAGTAGCAGTAAAGGTACAAGAACTCGACAAAATCGACGAATCAATGAAGCGTTCCGTATAAACTCGTAACCGTTCGGAAGCCAGAATTAATCACTCCGTCCCGACGTCCCTGAAAAACGTTCACCACTCGCAGCCCCGGGAAGTCTCGTCGAGAAGCAACGCGAAACAATAGAAACAAACGCGCATTAAATACTTCCCCGAAATCACGCGAGCCCCGTTCGAATCGGAGTGCCATTACGGTCCAATCAACGGGCGCGCCGCGAGATACACGCTCGTTTCGCCGTTCGTTGGGCGATTTCATCGCGAGCCGAAATATTCTATTTTTCGGGCGTTCAAGGTCGTCGAAATAATGACGAGCAACCGAGTCCGGCGAGCGGAACAACGATGAACAGCGGGAAAGGAGTAGAAATAATGAATCGGCCGGTACAATGGACAATTTTTCGCGCCGAGCGGAACGCCGCCAGCTGTAACTCGTTTTTTCCCCCGGGGTAGTCGAACCGCCGGCGAAATACAAATTACTCGGGACGCGGGGTTTAATGGCAAAGGTCAGCGACTGTGAAACGCGAGGAATCGACGTTCATGGTTCTACCCGGTTTTCCTGGGCCGAAGCAGATGGTTT